TTTAACCTTTACTACAGAGACAGCTTTATTGTTGTCATAAAAATTGAAAATAATTTGTTAGTGAACATGTCTTTGGAAATCCTCTAAAGAAAAAAATTTTTAAAGTTGTTGTTCTAATGTTACAGAAGCTTAATGTTTAGTTTGATGTTTGTCAGCAGTTTTAAATGTTAATCTTTAAAATAGCTTAAAAATAACTCAAAGTGTTACTGAACATATGATATCCATAATGGAATTTTGCTTTATACCCAAAGCATCGGAGATATTCTAATTGTTCAGTAGATCTGACGTAAAGATATAATTGATAAGCACCATATTCATGAAATGCTCAGTTACTCATCCATCAAGAGATATGAATAGTGATATTGAGATGTCACATTTGGAGTTGTTGCTATCTTTGCCAATAAATCAGTACTGATTGTTTAGGAAAAAACGTTTTCAATACTTTGCTGACAATTCCAAAACAATGGTTAAAGCGGATGACTTAATACTGTAACTGAACAACACGGAACTTAGTGTGTTAATTTAAAGTAACTTGTAACTTTTCATAGTTTTATGGAATGTGGAGAGAAAAAAAGCAAAAGAAGAATAAGAGTTAAAGCCAACTTTAGCAATCAGTTTAGCTCCAGAAAGCTTAACTCAAAACTTGGATGGCTGCTTTTTGCAGCTGTTATATTCGTTTAGTCGAAGTACCGTAATACACATTCGTAAATAAAGGATTTGTAAAAGATTATGGTTTCTAAGAACATCGCTGTGTGTTTAACCACCTGTATTAGTGACCGTGTTATATTGTCAAAAAACAGCTATACCATTGTTGTTGAACTAGAAACGGTTAGTTTATCTTTTAGCCTTAAAACAACGTATTGGACACCATCAATAGGCAGACACACACCCACATACCAAAAAACAAGTGTTAATTAAAAAATAAAAAACTGCATGAACATTATAAAAAGGTAAAAAGGTCATAAAAGTCATCTTATCGGAAGGCAGTGAATATCTTTCGACACCGACAATAAAACTCATTTGTGTTACTGAGAAGATAAATTTAGTGTTTCAAAAGTGTCGCAGAAGGAAAAAACGATGGAAAGTAATCATTGAAATATACAAGTGCAAAAATTTATTTACCACTCAAATTTATGTCTAAGCGTCATAACTGAGCGACAGATTTGTAGACAAAGGGATATTCCACATCTGTTTTTGCAAACTTCAAGTTCAGAAAGCTGAAAGAAACTGGAAGTTCGTCAAATTCATTGCCTATTGTTTTTTTTTTTTTTTTTTTTTTTTTTTTTTTTT